AAGGCATCAGACAGTGGACTTGGTACATTCCCAAGCGTTTCGCCGGCATCATAGTCGGCATTATCAGTGAGTTTTGCCATTTGCCGCACCAAGCTACGAACTCGTCAAAAAGACAAGTGAAGTAGATCCCTCGACAACCGTTCTGCTGGAAGCGGTTACACTATCACTCCTCTTTCTGTAATTGTCTATCTATCTACTCTTTACCCTCTCATCCCACTGCCGCCCTATCACAACTTTTGTTGTTGCTTTAGTTTCATGTTACTTTGAGCAAGTTGTGCATGGTTGCGTATGGATGCATGAATGTGTGTGAAAAATTATGGTACGGAACCATCCTTCATATCTTGGTACAGTATCGCCAAGATTTGATGAATCTAGGGGAGGCATGACTGGGATTGCGTAATTCTAAACCCGAATAGGGTTGAGATGATGAGCTTAAGAGATGTTTTGAACAAATGTAAATATGGTTAGAGTCAGTTAAACCACCTACTTTTTGTTGGTGGTTCAATCAAGCATAAGTAGTTCTTGTCCTGGTTCGAGCAACAGGGAGACTTTGTGGAAGGTGCCCAATCTTGCGTCCTCTGCCATAGTATTCATGATGAGTTCGAGCATTAGTCCGTCGACTTAATCAGATGTTGGACTACCATTTTTAACTAGCCCCAACGTTCACCATTACCCTCGACGAGATTTTAACGATAAGCATGTGGCTTAAGAGATAAGACCGTAACTCCCTAGGCCACACGGACCTAGCCACATCGTGTTACATAAAAGGCATGAATTTCACGACAAGGCAGGCCTTTCTAAAGTTACTTCATTATGAAGGGGGTCTCGTAAGTTTAGATGATATTTTGTCAGTAAATTAAATACACTACTGATTGGCTTAATTAGTAAGATATTATTTAGAAGGTATCGGGAGGTTGGTTATAGTCGGGGTTTACTGGTTTCTACTGTTTTGATGATGATCTTCCATGATGATTTTAAAATATGCGACTCTTACTCAGCACTTTCATAGTACAAATCTTGAGAAGGTGAGATATTAGCAAAACTGCTGAATAGCCAATAGAGACCGAAAGTAAAAAATCACGTCCTCTTTACCTTGTCATGGCCATAATTGCTATGCGCCAAGTAAGAATAAATTGCAAACTGGTGTACCTCACAAAATCAGCAATCCTGATGATTTCGTAAACAAAATCTGTGAGCTTAAATCTAGTTAGTTAGTCAAAGAGCACGCCACTGTTTGAGTCGCAAGTATGCATTTAAGTATGCATATCCGTTGTCAGAAGAAGAATAAATAATAGATTTTCTAAATTGGCATGTTTTGATCAGCCTCATGGCCTCGAGGCCAAATGGAGTCTGATTTTGATAAGTTACACATCGCGAATACGAAGGACGGTAGCAGATTAAGTCAACAGACAGAAGTTCGTTGTTTTTTCTTTCAGAACATCTTGAGAAAGCGAAGATCGAGCTTGAATAAGAAAGAAACAAATAAACTAGGCTATTGCTTAGGCGCCAGATCTTAGCTATATTTCTGACTAAATTCTAGGATAACTCTAATTTTTTTCGGAATTCAGATAATTTGCTTAAGCGAATCGCCTATTTCCTCTGGATGGCGATCCTTGTCCTTGGATAAACTATGCAACTTTATAGACGATGGGGCCATAACAATTGCTGTCATCCATCAATTCAGTTGCAAATAAACATCGAAAAGAGTCCTGCCAAAACTAGATTTTTCGTCTGCATCCATGACGGGTTAAAGTCGTCACTGAAGATGGTGGAGATTCTCACCTGGTGAGATATAGCGAAAAGGAATATTAAAAGTTAAGTTAAATGCCTATAGACCGTAGATATGACGATCAAAATGGTGTGGCCTGCCGTTTATTCGCAATCTCCTTTAATTTTTGGCATGGCAACAGCTTTTTCTAAAATAAGACTAGGCGTATTTCATCGTCACCGTGAGGTTTACTTAAATAAATGTGCAAAAATTCCATTATCAGTCTTAAAATTCCCTTAAATAACCTGACAAGCGAACTTACCAGATCGTCGTCCAGCCTCACTAACTTTCCCAACTGTGAGCACGAGAGGTTGAAGTTGACTGATTGCAATTTGACTGAAGAAACGGGACGTTAATTGCCTTAAAATGGAGCTTTTAAATGAGCTCGTTGCGTGATTGCACCAATTTTGTAAACTAAGTAGAAACTTTGAGATTCTAAACAACAAGGAAGAAAGGAAGGAAATATTGGTGGAACTCATAAGTTGTGCCAACCGTCTCAAATGAAAGATCAAGAGTGATATCAAGCTAAATGTGGTCCCATTAATTGATAGAAATGTAGAAGTACGGCCAAGGAATGGAAGAGTGAATAACATCATACCAATATAATAGTGCTAACAACGGACAAACGAAGAGCAGTTGGTATGGGTAGGATTTGTTATGTAGGAAAAATGCTACGGATAGCGGAAGACACTAAAAGAGTACAAAGTGACAACAAACTGCCTTACTAAAACTCTGACATCAAGAAGGGAAGGAGGGCTGCCTGAAACATTATGTAACAAACTGAGACCCAGAGAAGTTGAAAACGAGCACATTTCTTCAACGATATGCCAGGTCTTAGAATACAGCTTGTCCGCCCAAAATACACAACGAAGGGCTCCCACTTGGAATTAAGGTGAATTTAGAATTTTACACTATTTAAAGAAAATCTCCGAGACCTAGCGACTTTCAATAAGAAGATGGGAATCTGCTGGCAAACTTTGAAGTAGGTTCTCCATATACTAAAATTCCTGTAGGCTAGGCGAATCAGGGTTTAGAGGCTACAAGTAAATGAAAAATATGTAATGCAGTCGATTTTCATAGCAAATATAACTTTGCTTCATCGACAATCCCACCAAAGAATGTGATATA